GGTATCGGTAGTGTAAGGTATAGAGCACGATGCCCGGAAAGGAGAAGTGCGAGATCGAGTCCCGTCCGAGACTGAAGTTTTGCCCATAAGTTGCCAACCTTGAGAGGCTTTTTTCACACTTGTTTTCCACGAAATGCTTTCTAAGCTAGAACTATCCTTAATTAAATCTCAGCGATAAACACGTGATTGGCTGTAATGAACCTTGTGGCGCCCCAAAGGAATCCAGTCAGTAACCACGTGAACCAAATGATTATCAAAAAATCGCACGGCATACTCTGCCCTCCGGGTATTCGTCCCCTTGACGTAAACAACGGCATCCCTAATCCTCATTACCTGGCGGAGGCGGAGCTCGTATGTAAGAAGAAAGAATCTAAAGAGTCGAAAAGTGGGCTGCATGTTTGTCTTCTTCACCACTGCCTCATGTTCTTGACTACTCAGACCATTTCGTTCTGCTCAGCTCCGATGTTTTATCCTTAGTCGTGATTTTGAACTCAGAGAAATGTAGCTAAAACATTCAGAGATTTTCGTTTCTTTCAGCGTAAATATAAGGTGAGAAACTTGCCTTTCGTAAACATCGTCTTCTTCAGGATCAGCTATAAGCCGGTCTTTTCACAAATTGTCGGATTTGCACAATGTCTGTCTGCTGCTGTGTGTTTGGTGTTATAAGCACCAAGTCATGTGCAAACAGAGGAGATATAAGTAGAAGAAGTCGACTTTCACTCACATGTCTTTTCATTTTGAATGACGCCTATTTTTCGAGATTTACCCTTCTATAATGCCTGCAATGCAAGCGTTCGTGCGAAAAAGGCACTGCTTTACCCATGTATACACGAACAAAGGCTGCCTCTTTCATAAGTTTCATAAGTTTAGGCTGGTTCTTTTGACATATAACCCTACAAGAAGTAGAAATTTTCCGTACGCGCAGTGTGGGCGGAGTCTAGTCCTAACACCTATTATCAGTTTTCCCACCTTCCCGCCTGTACTTCTACCGAATCGAAACGCTTAGGTCGAAAATAACTGTTTTTGCCCCGCCTCGTCTCCTGTGGGAGGAGTCCAATCCTTCCGCCGATCACAGGGTTTCTATCCTGTCGCTTATGATTCCACCATTTTTTTGAAAGCTTTGGGTCCACGGGAACAGAAGCTATGACTTTTTGGTTGGACACACAAACACAAAAACACAAAACAGCGCGTTATGTGTGATAGATCCTTCTGCTCCCTAATTAAAAGCGATTTTTCCGCGTTCTTCTTCAGCAGGCGGATCTTTAGCAACTTGGTCATTTCAACTTATAACAGATGAAACAGCTTTGTGCTCCTTCAAACTCGAATCCTCGTGTTTGACTGTCTCATACATTTCTTACTAGAGCGCAGAGACTGGTAGGTTAACAAAATTACAAAAAAGAAATCATCGGTTGAGCAGAGGTAGGGAATTAATCTCATCTCATCAGTATCGGTCGAAGCTTAGCGTGGCTGTCAGTCGTCATAAGAGTTTACGGATGTCGAGGGAAACGGCTATAATGACGCTTTCATCAGCTTGCAATTCTTGATGATTTGAAAATATCCATCGAAAATGAAACCGTGGTTAGTCTAGTAATTGGTAGTGAGAGCACACTTCACCGTGTTCAGAGACCCTATCGCTTAAAGATAGGAGGCAGAAAAGTGTAAGGCGCTGATTTTGCACACCTGCAGTTGTGACTAACAACGGTTTTAAGTTAGCGTCAGTCTTCGCTTTCGCTGGAGCTATCATTTGTATATTGAGAAGGAATGAGCACCAGAGCGTTTGAAATGTTGACCTTGTGCTCCCTAAGTTTTATTCAAAACATTAAAAAATTCACCTGCGTAGTTCCCAAAGAAAGCTCAAAAGGTGCGTGAGGGGCAGCAAACAGATCGATTCCGTGGTCCTTTCTGTCTCTGTGAGTTGCGCCATTCAAGGCCCTGTGCTGACTGCAGTGCTCGATCCTCGCCAAAAGCAGGTGCTAAGTATTATCTGACAATGATCATAAATCCGTCGGGTATGCTAGAAAATCGAAGGCATGTAGGATAAGGATGACGTGCGTTTTCTCAACGACAGCTGGATGATTGCAGGTCGCTGACTGGCCATATCCCTCTGATTTCTCGTAGAACATCAAAAAGCTCAAGGGCCAGAATTTCCCACGAAACATGCGAAAAGGAAGGAAATTGTAAAAGGAACGGCCGGAAACGGCATCTGCGTTTGCGCAAATTAGCAGATAGGTGATAGGGATGATCACACCATGCTTTGTTTGATAAGAGCTTATTGTTACGAATGTTTGCGAGGCTAAATGAAACTTTTATCAAAAAGTCTTAAGTCAGCAGTTCCAAATGGGACACCAAATGGAGTTCGGCAAGCATGATAAGCATAATCGTTGAACTTCTATGGAAACGGTGATATTTAAGAGATCTCTCAACTCATTTCTAAGCTTTCCTGTACAACAGTTCATTCCTTAAAGGTTTTGTTCGACTAATCCTACATTTATTAAAAATTATACTTTTTGCAACTCGTTTTTTTTGCATTTTTTTTGCGAGCAGCCACGTTTTTCTCAACCACATTTCCATGCTAGCCACAACTCGAATGTATTTCAGATGTTTATAGCGATAAATGTAGTATTAAACACTTTTGGTACAACGCAGCACAGTAAGATCAATTCCTGTTCACGCTGATCAACGTTTTATTCTCATCATATTGTATTTTCATAAAAACGTAAAAAGCCAAATATACATCTGGGAGGTGCTGATCTACTGAAATTAAATCAGTGGTTCAATTCACAAATTTTCCCAAAATATGCCAACTCCTCCCAGCCCTGCGTTTTATGAAGACCAAGTATTCTGCACCAATTGAGAGATCCACGTCTTGCCATACAATGAAAACATGCCAAAGCTGCGTGCGTACATACATCATAAACGGTGTTTCTGAGAGAAATTCCTTTTTGTTTGTTCTTTGACAATATGAGCTATTCAGGCTTGCTCTTCATACAGCAGGAAGCGAGCAAACGACGCAGTGTTGAAAGTTGTCGATATAGAAAGCAAACCGGCATACCAAAATTCTTTAATACACGATAATATCCTTTGTTAGGGGCTTCTGAAGGTGAGGTTTTATCAGCTGACTACCTCACGATACATGATACTCCAACAGTTTATCATTCTACCAGCCGGATTGCCCGGCTGTGGCCGGGCATCCTCCTCATGTAACAGTCGGTTCGCACTATCGCGCACTCCCCGCCTCCTGCGAGCGGAGTCCTACCCATCATAAGTGTTCCTATCCTACTTCCTACACTCCTACCAATTTTCATCGCTTTGGGTCTGCTGGATACTGGAACAGGAGTTATGAATTTCCGAACACACACACACACACACACACACACACACACACACACACACACACACACAC